TAGCTTGCCCAACACTACCTCTTCCGTAATAATGATTGTTTCCAGGTCCTCACCTACCTTCGTCTCTTTGTCAATTACTGGCATGTTATTAGTGTCCTCCACTGTGAAGACCGATACAAAATATCTGTTCAATGCCTCGGCCATTTCATCATATCCCATAACTAAATTCCCCTTCTCATGCTCTAAAGGGCCAACGTTTACTTTAGCCACTCTTTTTCATTTTATATATTTATAGAAACTTTTGCTATCTGTCTTTATATTCTGTGCTAGTTTTTTCTCATGTTCTATCTTACTTTTCCTTATAGCTCTTTTTGTGGCTTTCTGTTGACCTTTAAAGTTTTCCCAATCTTCTAGTTTCATGCTGTTTTTGGCCACTTTGTATGCCTTCTCTTTCAATTTGATAGCCTCCCTTATTTCTTTAGACACCCATGGCAGATTACCCCTTTTCTTACAGTCCTTCCTTTTCATTGGAATATACTTTTGCTGAGCACTTTCAAAGATTGCTTTGAAAGTCCTCCACTGCTCGTCAACTGTCCCACCATAAAATCTTTGTATCCAGTTTACTTTAGCCAAGTCCTCCCTCATTCTATTGTAGTTCCCCTTGTTCAAGCACAGGACCCTTGTATTGGATTTTATCTTCACACTCTCCATCTGTATTCTAAATTCAACCATACTGTGATCACTCCTTCCAAGAGGATCCCTAACTATGAAGTCATTAATTATTCCTGTCTCATTACACAGGACCAGGTCTAGGATAGCTTGCTCCCGCGTTGGTTCCATTACATACTGTTCAAGAAAACTATCACGGATACACTCAACGAACTCCTCCTCAAGGCTACCCTGACCGAGCTGGTTCGACCAATCTACATGTAGGTTAAAATCCCCCATGATAATTGCCGTACCATTTTTACAGGCATTAGTTATTTCTTTGTTTATTGCCTGCCCCAATGTGATGTTATTATTTGGTGGCCTATAGACTACACCTATCAGTGACTTTTTCCTCTTAGAATTTCTAATTTCCACCCAAATGGATTCAACCTCATTCTCCATAGAACCTATATCATCTCACAGAACCGCCCTGATGGCGTCCTTGAATATCAGAGCTACACCACCTCCCTTACCTTCCTGTCTGTCCTTCCGAATAGTCTGGTACTCTTGGATATTCAACTCCCAGTCGTGACCATCCTGTAACCATGTCTCCGTAATGGCTACCAAATCATATTCATTCGCGATGATTTGTGCCGTTAACTCATCAACCTTGTTACGAATGCTACGAGCATTCAGGTAAAGTGCCTTTATGCGAGCTCTCTTACCCTCATGATTTCCAACATCTCTTATAATATCTCCCGAGTTATCCTTCCTTTTTGCTTCTTTCATAGTCTGCCTTGAACTTAAACCCTCCTGCACACATGCTAACCTGCTGCTTACCTTTTTATTTACCATCATACTCCCTGTCGTTTTCCCTTTCCCTTCCCCTCAACTCACTAGTTTAAAGTCCTAGTGACCACCCTATTTATCCTTTTCACAAGAACACTGGTTCCAGATCGGTTCAGGTGGAGACCGTCCCATCGGTACAGATCCCTCCGGTTCCAAAACTGATGCCAATGCCCCATGAAATGGAACCCCTCTTTCCCACACCACTCCCTTAGCCACGTGTTTACTTCCCTAATTTTCTTATCCCTAAGCCAATTTGCACGTGGCTCGGGCAGTAATCCGGAGATTATGACCCTCGAGGACCTGTTCCTTAATTTTGTTCCTAGTGCTTGATAATCCCCAAACAGGCCCTCCATCCTAGCCTTGCCTATGTTGTTAGTCCCAACGTGGACCACAACAACTGGATCCTCCCCCTCTCGCTCCAATATCCTTTCAAGCCGGTCAGAGATGTCCTGCACCCTGGCACTAGGCAGGCAACACACCATGCGGGACTCCCGATCCGGCTTGCAAAGGATACTATCTATCTCCCTAACGATAGAATCCCCTATAACTACCACTTGTCTATTTGCTCCCCCCTCTTGAATGGCCTTCTGCACCATGGTGCCGTGGTGAGCTGGCTCATCCTCCCCGCAGCCCTTTTCCTCATCCACACAGAGAGCAAGTATCTCGTACCTGTTGGATAAGGTCAAAAGCTGAGTCTCCTCCACTCCTGAACTCAGGATCCCCTTACCTGCCTCACTTGCAGTCACACCCTGTTGTCCCTGATCACTAACTGAATTTGAATTACTTAATCTACCAGGTGTGACTGCCTCCTGAAACAAAGCATCCAGGTAACTCTCCCCATCCCGGATGTGCCGCAGTGTTTGAAGTTCAGATTCCAGATCTTCAACTCTGAGCCGGAGTTCTTCCAGCAACCAACACTTGCTGCAGATGTGGTCACTGCCGTTCACAATGGGATCAGCCAGTTCCCACATCATACAGCTACAGGACATCAGCTGCCCAGCCATCTTACTTAGTTAATTACTTTTTTCTCAATTTATGAGTTAAATACTTCTAATACTTCTCTGCTATGGTCCTTTCAAATAACCAGTTAATATATAAATAAAAACAAAGAAAGTAAATTTTTAACTAATTACACAATACAGGAGAAATAGAAAAAGTATAAAAACCTTACCTTACCAACACACCACAGAGTCCTTTTTTTGGTTAGAGGAGGAGGGCGGGTGGGAGACACTACGCGTTTAGTGTCTCGGGTTCAGCCGCTGCCCAAATATATTCCCGGCAGCCCCCGGTCCTCGCTGTCGCCTCTCTCTCTGCTGCTGGAAAAATGAAGGCCGTACAAAATGCAATGATGCAATTGACTACACTTCCATTGTCTCTGTTCCTTTTTTGATAGAGAAATATAATGACTTTATTCTGTCATCACATTGACATGCTGACCAATATGGACTGCACACTGCACGTGAAGAAAAACACCTCAAATCAATTCATGAACTGAGATGGGAGGCAAAAACAAACTGAGAAAGGAGTAAGCTGAAGGTTGGAAGTTGCAAGTGAAATTGACAAACATCTCCAATCCCAGACGAGATGGGGTAGCAGCACAAATGATGTCATCAACTTACCTGAGACAGAGTGTCCAGGGTGGGGGCCGGAGTAGGACTGGAACAGGGAATGTCCAACATACACCACAGACAGACAGGCACAATCGGTACCCATGTGGGTACCCATGGCGACCCCTTTGATCTGAAGATGCAATTGCAGAAGATGTAATATGTACCTGTTTACTTCCTCCCTCCTCACTATCCAAGGCTCCAGACACAGCTTCCAGGCAAAGCAATAATTTACCTGCACGTCACTCAATCTACACAACCCTATTCGCTGCTCACAATGTGGTCTCCTCTATGAGGAGACAAAACACAGCCACTTAGCGGAACATTTACATTCTGCCCGTAGAAATGACCCTGAGCTTCTAGTTGCCTGCTACTTCAGCACACCACCTTATACCCTGGCCAACATCTCTGCTTCAGGCATGCTGCAGTGCTCCAGCGAAGCTCAGTGTAAACTGGAAGAGCAGCATCTCACTTGGGGACCTTGAAGCCTTCATTACTCAAAATCAATTCAATAATTTTAAGGGCTGAGCACCTTTTTGCATGTCCTTACCCCAAACCCCCTACACACCAAACCCCCTACACGCCGTGTCACCACATGGGCTGCTACCCCAAACATTATCAGCCACTAACAGTCCTAATTAGCAGTTATTCATTCTCCCAGGCTGACCTTTACCCCTTCGTCTGCCCAACTGTTTTTCCTCTCTATGTGGGCTCCATCTCCACCTATCATTTACTCTATCCCCCCCACCACAATCTTTAAGCCATTCATGTTGAAAAGATTTACAAGGATGTTGCCAGGGTTGGAGGGTTTGAGCTATAGGAACGAGCTGAATAGGTTGGGACTATTTTTCCCTGGAGCGTCGGATATGGAGGGGTCACCTTATAGAAGTTTATAAAATCATGAATGGCATGGATAGGGTGAATAGCCAAGGTATTTTTCCTGGGATGGGGGAGTCCAAACATACAGGGCACAGGTTTAAAGGTGAGAGGGGAAAGATTCAAAAAAGACCTGAGGGGTAACTTTTTCATGCAGAGGGTGGTGTGTGTATGGAAGGAGCTGGCAGACAAAGTAGTCGAGGCCTCTACAAGTACAACATTTAAGAGGCATCTGGATGGGCATATGAGTAGGTAGGGTTTAGAAGGAGATGGGCCAAATGCTGGCAAATGGGATTAGGTCAGATTTGGATGTTTATGTCAGCGCGGATGAGTTGGACCGAAGGGTCTGTTTCCATGCCTCGTGACTGTCACTGGATATATATCAACCTTTCCCTAGCTACCATCAGTTCTGAAGAAGGGCCACCGGACCCAAAACATTAACTCCGATTTCTCTCCACAGATGCTGCCAGGCCTGATGAGTTTGCACAGCAATTTCTGTTTTTGTTTCGAATTACCAACCTCTGCAGTTCTTTGGGGTTATTTCTTGTGACAGAAGGAGGGATGTTATGCTTTGGTTATGAGGTTCTGGTTTAGGTTACATCTGGAGTACTGTGTAGGGACTATTGTTCTCTTTACTTAAGGAATGATATAATTGCCTTGTTGGCAGTTCAGAGAAGATTTACCAGTCTTATATCTCAATGAGGAGGTCCCCTTGTGAAGAAAGGTTGGACAGGCTAGGCTTGTAGCATTTGGAGTTTAAAGACTAAAGAGGTGACATGACTGAAACATAAGATTTTGACAAGGCTTCACAGTGTAGAAATGGAGAGGATGTTTCTCCTTATGGGAGAGTCTAGAACTAATGATCACTGTTTAAAACTCAGGTGACACCTCTTTGAAACAGAGATAAGGAGAAATATTTTCAGAGGGTTGAATACTTTAGAAGTCTCTTCCTGGAAAGGTGGTGGAGACCTATTCCTTGCATTTTTTAAAAAGGTAACAATAAATAGTTTTGTGTTAAGAAATGGGGTGAAAAAGCAAGTAGGAATGTGGACCTGGCTTTTAAAAAAATACACAAGTAAATTAAGAATGGATTTCATTTATTTATTTTCCAATATGACAAAATAAACACATTCTGAATTGTACTCCACTGTACATTCTATGCATATATCCTCTGATTAATTCCATACATGGCAACATAGAGACAACCCACTCAAAATTTTAAAAAGGACAGACAGTGTGGAAGTTTCCTTCACATTTTTTTTTTTTTTTTTTTAAAGTTTAGCTCCCAGAGGTGTATAACATTTACAAGCAGAATACTGGAATACTAAAATAAAAGAAGGAGAGCGAGAAAGATTGATCTTCAGTTTAGATAAACTTTGCGAGTCACTTCACAGCTTAGCGAGCACATCGTCGTGTGGGATCACAGCCTGGATGTTGTGGTCGAACGGAGCAAAGTGTTCTGGCGTCAGCTAATCGAATCCCTGCCAGTCACTTTGCTCGGAGTCGTACTCTGGTTCTGAGCCTACGCATTTGACACCTTCCAGCAGCATCGGGGTTCCATGCAGCCGGTCTGAAATACAAGGCAAGAGGACAACAGTAGATTCACATACATTTGCACAAACTGGTCATGACCCTGCATCCTGCCACATATACCTAGAGAAATAATCATACATATGTTGAGATAACACAGTGTGGAGCTGGAGGAACACAGCAGGCCAGGCAGCATCAGAGGAGCAGGAAAGCTGACGTTTTGGGTCTGGACCCTGTTGAGCAAGGCCTTTCTGCCCATCATCTTTCTGCTGGTTCTGTGAAAGGAAAGACCTGCATTCCCATCTCATACTTAGTTGCAACTTTGGGATGTCTCCAAGTGCTTTGCAGCCAATTGGGTATTTTTGAAATGTGGTCACTGTTGGTAATGTAGAAACGGGTCAGCCAATCTGTACCAACATGGTAATTCACACGGAGTCTTTTGCATCCCCCCTTTGAGGGCTGAGAGCGCCCTGATGTCTCAGCTGTAAGACAGTGCCTCAGAGTGCTGCGCTCCCTCTGTGCTGAAGGGGACAAACAAATTTGGTGGCGAGATTCTTAAAGCGTAACGGCAGCTTTGAAAAACATATCTATACACAGGGAATCTCCAAGTTATGAATGGGTTCTGTTCTTGTGTCCGCTCACCAGTTGATTTGTACACAAGTCAGAACACAATGTAGGATCATATAAAATAGCATGCACAGGAAATATTCACATGTTGGATCATTAAAATCACATCACATCACTGTGTGGAATTGTGTTCATAAATACAAACATTCATATGTTGGTGCTTGTAAATTGGCGACCCCTTGCATTGTATTATATTTTAAAAATCTAACACACAGAACGCCAGTGACATCAAATACTTAAATACTTGTATGTGCTTCCCAGTCTCAAATTTTAGCTTCTAGGTCGTGATTTTTAGTACCACATCTACATCTGGAAAATCAACATTTTACTGTCAACAAATCTTGCAGCTCACTATCACACCTTGGTAATGAATCAATCCCAAATTGCAATGATTTTAACATTACTTGACCAGTTAGTTTTGGCATTGAAATTATAAGTTAAGTTCTTAAACAAAAACAGAAGTTGCTGGAAAAGCTCAGCAGTTCTTGCAGCATCTGTGAAGAAAATAATCAGAGTTAATATTTCGGGTCCAGTGACCCTTCCTCGGAATTGTTCTGCATCATTTTTCTGCTGGTTCTGTGAAAGGAAGCAACAGGCAGGATTCTGAGGAAGGGTCACCGGACCTGAAACATTAGCTGATTTCTCTTCACAGATGCTGCCAGGCCTACTGAGCTTTTCCAGCAACTTCTGTTTTTGTTCCTGATTTACAACATCTGCAGTTCTTTAGTTTTTATAAGTTCTTAATCATTTTTTTTTTCCAAACAAAAGAAGCCATTACACATTTCACAATAGCACGGTTAAACTTGTCTGATTACAAAATAGTCTTGTGGCTTCATGAATCTCTCGAAGATTTTGCCCCAGTTATCAATCCTTTTGTTGTCAATCCTATTTGATCATTCCTAACCCCTGCAGTAGATAAACTTCCCTGGTATGCATCAACAGGTTTCTGATCATCACAGGATTTGAAAGCAGTTTTCCTTCCCCACAAAAACCTTGAAAATAAATGGAAGATTGACTTTTCAAAGTTTCAATTTGCAAACCACTTACCGCAACAAAATGAGCCTTACAAGGCCACAAGGAAATGCACACAAAGCAGTGAAGTGCATTCCGAAACAGAATACAACTCTAAAGCAAAGACGCATGTTGAACGTGGACGATGCCACTCACAGTAGTTTCCTTGCTTCAAAAAAATTATATACAAGCTGCAGACCGGTGGAATTCTGAGTTGCAAAAATGGACCATGCTTGAGAAAAGGGAAGATACAGAAATATCCTCAGGGAGGTCTTTAACTTACAAAAGGATTTGACAGTTTGAGAAGGTGCTTCAGGTGTATGTGTACCTCATTTTGAAGAGAGTTTGCACTTAAGAATTTCATGTGCCCTGTGCATACAATGTTGTGACACTGCCTGGCAATCTGCTGCAGATCTGTAAACTGCACTCACTTAGAATCACAGAATCCCTGCAGTGTGGAAGCAGGCCATTCGGCCCATCAAGTCCACATGACCCTCTGAAGAGCATCCCACCCAGACCTACTCCATCCCTGTACCCCTGCATTTCCCATGGTTAATCCACCCAATTTACACATCACCGGACACTATGGCCAATCCACCTATCGCGCACATCCTTGGGCTGTGGGAGGAAGCCGGAGCACCCGGAGGAAACCCACACAGACACAGAGAGAATGTGCAAACTCCACACAGTTACCCGAGGCTGGAACTGAATCCAGGTCTCTGGCGCTGTGAGACAGCAGTGCTAACCACTGAGCCACAGTGCCACCCACATGGTGAAGTGGAACAGAGCAGCTTTAGATGACAAACCTAGGCAGTTAATAATGGGGAACTCAAAGAAATGGCAGAGACACTAAATCAATATTTTACCTCAGTTTTCACAGTGGAGGGCGTTGAAACTATCCTGATAGCAACAGGCTATGCAGAGGTTAGAGAAAAGGAAGATCTCAGAGCAATTGGCATCACTAGGGGAAAGAATAGAATGCACCCTTAGTCAAAGGGTCAATAACAAGGCTGTGTAACTTTTAAGTGAAAGGCAGGAAGTTCAGAGACGGTTTGAGGAAAAACATTTTCAGCCAAAGAATTGTCGGGGTCTGGAATGCACTGCCTGGGAGGGTGGTTTTTAAAAAAAATACTTGGATAAGCTTTTGAAATGTCATGACATTCAAGGGTATGGGCCTACTGCAGGAAAGTGGGACTGGTATCATAGTAGTGTATTCTCGGCAGTACAGATTTGATGGGCCAAAGTGCTTTTTCTGTTCTGTGCGATTCTATGACATGGAGCAAACAACTGGAATTAAAAGGCAGGCAAATCCCCAGAATCCATTTTCAGGAAATTATTAACAGGATATTTGGAAAGTCAAAACACAATCCATCAGAGTCAGAATGGTTTTATGGAAGGAGAAATTGCGCTTGAATGATTTGTTAGAGTTCTTCAAAGTTGTAACAAGCAAAGTGGATAACAGGCGTCCTATAGGTATAGTCTATCTGGACTTCCAGAAGGCATTTTTTAGTCATAGATTTATACAGTGTGGAAACAGACCCTTTGGTCCAACTCGCCCATGCTGACCAGATATCCTAAATGAATCAAGTCCCATTTGCCAGCATTTGGCCCATATCCCTCTAAATCCTTCCTATTCATGTATCCATCCAGATGCCTTTTAAATGTTGTAATTGTACCAGGCTCCACCTCTTCCTCTGGCAGCTCATTCCATACACGCACCACCCTCTGCGTGAAAAAGTTGCTTCTTAGGTCCCTTTTAAATATTTGCCCTCTTACCATAGACCTACATACTGTAGTTGTGGGATCCCCTACATGGGGTAAAAAACTTCAGCTATTCACTCTATCCATGCCTTTCATGAGTTCCTAAACTCTAAGGTCACCCCTCAGCCTCAGATGCTTCAGGGAAAATAGCCCCAGCCTACCCAATGCCTCCCTATAGCTCAAACCCTCCAACCTTGGCAACATTCTTTTAAATCTTTTCTAAGCCCTTTCGAGTTTCACAACATCTCTCTTATAGCAGGGAGACCAGAATTGAACACAGTATTCTAAAAGTGGCTTAACCAATGTCCTGTATAGCCGCAACATGATGTCCCAACTCCTATACTTGTAGCACTGACCAATAAAGGCAAGTATACCAAACACCTTCTTCATTATCCTGTCTACCTGCGGCTCCACTTTCAAGAAACTATGAACCTGCACCCCAAGGTCTCTTTATTGGGCAACACTCCCCAGGACCCTACCATCAAGTGTATAAGTCCTGCTCTTACTTACCAAAATGCAACATCTCACATTTATCTAAATTAAACTCCATCTGCCACCCTTTGGCCCAATGGCCCGTCTGATCAAGGTCCCACTGTACGCTGAGGTAACCTTTTTCACTGTCCACTGCACCACCAATTTTGGTATCTTCTGCAGATGTACTAACCATATCTCCTATGTTCACATCCAAGTCATTTATATAAATGACGAAAAGTAGCAGACCCTGGCACCAATCCTTGCGACATATAGCTGGTCACAGGTTTCCAGTCCGAAAAGCAACTCTTCACCAACATCCTGTCTCCTACCTTCAAGCCAATTTGATAAGGTGCTTACACAAAAGCTTAAAAACACAAAGTAAGGTCACGTGGGGTTAGGGATAACTTATTAAACTTGGACAGAGGGTTGGCTAACCAACAAGAAGCAGACAGCCAGGATAAATGGGTCTTTTGCTGGTTGGAAACAAGTAACTAATGGGGTACCACTGGGTTTGGTCTTCCAACTATTTACAGTCTATATCAATGACTTGGATTGAGGGACAGAAAGTTCTGTGGCCAAACATGCAGATGACACTAAAATTGCAATTAAGTAATAATAAATATACAAATGATTAGGCGAATGGGTCAAAATGTGGCAGATGGAGTTTAACATGAGTAAGTGTGAGGTTATCCATTTTGGAAGAATAAAGAGGCAACTGATTATCAAAATGGATAGAAACTTGAAGATGCTTTCGTGCAGAGGGATCTGGGTGTCTTTGTACATAAACTGCAGAAAACTAGTACGCAGGTAGTAAGAAAGGGAAATGGAATTTTGGAATTATTGCTGAAAAATTGGAGTCTTAAAGTGGGAAGGCATTGCTGCAACAAGGCATTGGTCAGACTGCATTTGGAATATTGTGCACAATTTTGAGGAGGGATGTAAGTGTATCGGAGGCAGTTCACAGAAGGTTCACTAGATTGATTTCGGAGATGAAAGGCTTGTCTTATGAAAAAGAGTTTGAACAGTTTAGGCCTATACTCTCTGGAGTTTGGAAGAATGAGAGGAGATTGAATTGAGGTATAAAAGATGCTAAGAAGTGATTGACAAGGTAGATGTAGAGAGGAAGTTTCCTCGTGGCGTAATCTAGAACGAGGTCATCGTTTTAGG